GAGAATCTGTTCATGTCTGTGACCTCCTCACACAATGATGTATATTTATATACATGTTAGGTAAGGATCGAACTTGTACAGCATTGGCCTTTCTTGAGACCTGGCACATAGAAAGCAAATCCATTTTAAATTAGCAAATAAATAAATGAGAAATTAAGAATGAGAATAGAATATAAGACTTTGGTCTTAAGTAAGCATCTGACTTTATAATGCGCCTAAATGACCTGTGTTTTCTCAAATTGCATAGTTAAATTGGAGGTCAAAACTAAAGAATTCAATATGCCTATTGAAAAAGGCAGTTTGGAGAATATTGTATTCTCCTGAACAACTGGTACTGTATAGTTTGGCTTCCTTGCCTCAGCTCAATACATATCTGCTTTGTATAGACACAGACTTTAGAAATCCCTCAAAGCACCTGCCCTTCTTCTTTCTTCCATCTGACTCACTTTTATCCTTAAACATTAAAGAAATAGCCAGTATTGTCTGAAGTGGTCAGGAAAAATTTAACTTTTTTAATGTGAGGAATTGAAATTTATGACTTTGGATTATGGGGATGGCAGTAGTGAAAGGGTCACAACCTGAGCAGAGCACTAAGCTTCTTCCTGCATCCTTCGGTCTAACATTGGTTAACATCTCACCTGGAAAGTACAATTATTTGGGAAATATACTTAAGTGATTGAGTACAAGTGTAGACATAAAAACTTATAAAACAAGGTCTAGGTTCAATACGTTAGAATAATGAATGATTCAGATATTCAGTACTATTGTCGATCCTTGAAATCCATGATGTAAATAGTCCTAACTATATAATAAGTACTATTTATTGTGTCATACTATGTGCTAGGTACTGAGGCAGGTATGTTTACATACATATATCATTTATTTCCTGCAACACCCTGCAAGGGAGGTATTATTATCTCCATGCTAATAATGACAAAACTGAAGCTCAGAGAGGTCAGATAACTTTATCATTCTCACACAGCAAGTGAGCAGCTGAGCCTCAATGAAAGAAAAAGAAAATCCTGGTTGATGTCAGAGCCCAAGCCATTAACTCTTCTACTGTAAGGCATAAAAGGAAATATGTGAAGTTTTGTATTTTTAGGACTGAAGAAGATAGAGGTGAAAATCTGGAAATTGTTTCTGTATTTTTGATATGAGCATGTATCCATGTGATAAATCCATGTTATAGAAGAACCACGCCTTGAAAACAACTGAATTCTAACCTGCAGTAGTAGAAGTTGACAGGGCAGAGAGCCCTCCAGGGATGGTACAATGTACAGAAAATGTACATGGGGGAGAATTTCATATATCTGCTGCGTATTGTCCTGTACACCTTTTTCTGCTTAGTATGTGCTAGACTCCTCAAGTCATAATTAGAGCTGAATTTCTACTGTGAGTTACATGTGTGTATCATTGTGCAGCATAAAAGGCAACCTGTCCATCCATTATCAAGTGTGATTTTCATAGAAACTTTGTGAGCCTGACATGGCAGGTGATAGAAGCATCTGCATTCCTTAAATGCAATCCAAAGTTGCAAAGTCAGGAGCAGCCCTGAATTAGTGAATTAAAGGTGAGAGGGTGATATTCCCCTTAACTGACCTGGGTTCTCAGAAATACAGGCTATGGTATTTTGTACTCTCTGAACTCTGATGTGCTCTTTCTCTTTTCTCCTCTTGCTTCTTTTTTGTCATTTTGCACATCTTTTCTAATTTCCCCTCTATCCAATCTTTAAGATATTTTAAATATTTTAAATTTGTTCTCCTATTTTACTTTTCTATACATCTCAGATTATTCCATATACTTCCTGAAAATAAGTTGAGTGCTGACTGTAGATATGGAGATGAAATGTTAGCTAATCCAAATGAGAAATATGTTGTAAAGCCTTCTCACTGGGAGAGACTACTCGTCATGACTCCTATAAGTTTTTAAATGAGAAACTTTCCCTTAAGCATGTTGAAACTATTGAAAAAGATGGCAGAGAGAATCAAGAATAAAACAAAAAAAATAATAAAGATCATTGACCTGTAGTCATGGCTTTAATAAAGCTATTGTTGTTGATATAACCTCACAGTTGAGAACTATTTGTTGACTTCTGTATGCATCTGGGTATATTATATGAGCTATATACACATGAATAATGGTAGGTAATATTAAAAGGCACCTTGATATGTTATTCAAGGTATTTCTTTCTCTTTCTATTTAGCTTTCACTAATCAATATCTATATCTATACCATGTCAAATTAATATCTATACCCTGGGGGCAGCCTTCCCCACCTGCTATTGCTGACACTAGTAATCTTCTATTATTGAATGTCTAAAACACATTCCAAATATTTATCTTGCTATTCACTTGACATGTGTTATATCCACATTAGACAGTATTTGTTATGTGTTCAATTCATGTTTTTTCAACTGTTTTTCCCAGCTCTTTGATTTACAGGAGTTGGTTAAAAAAAAAAAACACAAGTTTTTATGAAAAAAATTGTCAATAATAGCTAGTATGTTTACATTATAGCTAGTGAGTTTAATTGACCTTTTTTAAGGATAATAAAATTTAGGAAGACCAAAAGAATGGTCTCCTTAGAGACAACAACTTAAGTGTTTTACAGTTGTAATGACCAGTTGCATAGCCAGCAAAAAAGACACATCAGTACAGAAATATGTTAGCAGTGAATAATCACTTTCTCAAATGTAATTTTCTGTTTTACTAGTCAAATAATCTTTAGCTAGGCACTCACCTTATATATTTTATTTATTATTACACTAATTATATAATTTAATGTTAATATGGACATTGTATGGAAATAGTGTTTTGTGGATTTTTATCTTGTTTGATTATTTTCTCCAGAGTCTATCTTTCTCGGAATAAAGAGTCAAGAGCTCTAGGTTCTGGTCCCTAATTCTAGTTGTGTGAACCTGGTTGGAGTCTCATGTTTTTCATGTGATTGATAATCAACTTGGACAAAATGGCCCATAAATAATTCCATGAAAACTTTCCATCCACACTGAATGCATATTCTTTTCCTCACCAAAGCTTTGAAGGTTTTTCAACAATTACTAAGCTTCTTGCCCCCATCCTGCCCCCACCATGCCTCCATTACTGTCCCATGTACGTCCATCCGATCAGTCCTCTACCCTGCTGATTCTCTCTGCCCTGATGAGCAGGAGATAGTGGGTATTCCCTGCCTACTACTCCAAGCCTCAGGTTTATGGTAACACTGTGCACCTTGAGACTGTGGACCATTGGACGGGGATGTGATAGCATAGTCAGTGTATGTAGATGAGAGTAGAAAGACATTCCTGCCGGTGGTGGTGACCCAGAATTGGGGTCCAAACATAGTGACAGCTTCTGTCATGTTTGCAGACTGGGATGAATGAGTGCATCAGTGAGATGGCCCTTTGAATGAGAAGGTCTGGAGTTGTACCTCAAAAAATGGATATAAGTATAGTTGTTCTATTGCTTTTCATTAGGTCTGAAAATAATTAACCTCTAGTAGGTGTTTTCAGGGACTACTTTCTACTATAGGAAGTGATTAAGATGGGTGTCTGGACACAGAGAAACACAAAACTATTGTCTGCTCACTCTCCACCTCACATATAAATACTATATGTATTAAAGAACTAAATTCTGTGTCATGTTTTATATAGTATGCTGCTGCTGCTGCTGCTAAGTTGCTTCAGTGGTGTCAGACCCTGTTGTGACCCCATAGACAGCAGCCCACCAGGCTCCTCTGTCCCTGGGATTCTCCAGGCAAGAATACTGGAGTGGGTTGCCATTTCCTTCTCCTTATATATAGTATGATTTAAGATCAAAAAGAAATCTTATTTGCCCTCCTGAAATGTGACTTATATTTGATATTCCTATTTTATAATTATAGATCAAAAGTATGAAATACAAATTGCCTTTAAGATTAAATAACTGAACAGATTCCCCAGCCAAGTAAGCAGGATAATATCAGCTATTAGAAGAGGTAACCATGCAGGCAGTACTGAGTACTTTTAAGGATAGAGGGTTCTCAGTGGACTTAAAGGTAACAACAAACTGAGGCACTGATGAATTACAACTTAATATCTCAACTGTTTCAAGTGCTGACATTAGTACCTTCACATGTATGGACAGAAAGCAAATGTTTTCAGAGATATTTTGTGTCATCTATGACTTTAGGAATATACCTTATCAGAAAGTGCAGAAATTACTCAAATACACATTTATTAGTCCTGGAGAAAGCCTTTCACACTTAGCTCCATTATGAGCCATTATGCTCCATTATGAAGCATTATGCTCCATTATGAAAGCCTTACTGAGTATTGAGTCCAGTTTAGGGATTTGTAGTCATGAAAAATTATGTGGAAACTAGAGGCACCCAGAATAGCCATGAATATGATAAAATGTGATGCAAAACTGTGTTTGTTTTATTTACTAGACTCTGAATACATTTCCTGTCCTGTTGTACTTGCAGGGCCTCCATTTTTACATATCCTAGTATTTTTATTTATTTAGTCTTAATCTACAGTATATCCTAATTCAGTGTCTATTCATGTCTTATGTCCCATTCACTCCAGGTGACAATTGACCAGTCAATGTTTTCCTCTCATCACAACTTTTTGTGAATTGTGAGAAAAGTGGATTATGAGAATATACATAAAAGCATGATGGGATATTTTGGAAATGTGGAATAATCAGTATCAGAAGAGATTTAAACAGCTGATGAAGTCATGGACACACATGAATTTTTGTTCTTGTCTAATGTGTTAATTTGAGAGCAGAGCATTGAAGTATGAGTATTGATGATGTTTGAAGTATGTTGCAGCCCACACTTTGTGATGATATAATGTTAATTATTATTTTTGTTTGTATATTTGAGGAACTGGATAATTACATACTTTTCATTCATTATGAGAACATTGAAAAATCAGAAATTATCTTCTCTATAATCATACTTTCATCCTCATTTTCATAGTTATCAATATTTCAGTGGCAGCCCTGTTGGCTGGATCAATGGATGGAGGGAATCACTCGGTGGTGTCTGAGTTTGTGTTTCTGGGACTCACTCATTCATGGAAGTTCCAGCTGCTCCTACTGGTCTTTTCCTCTGTGCTCTATGTGGCAAGCATGACTGGGAACATCCTCATTGTGTTTTCTGTGACCATCGATCCTCACTTACATTCCCCCATGTACTTCCTACTGGCCAACCTCTCCTTCATTGACTTGGGAGCCTGCTCTGTCACTTCTCCCAAGATGATCTGTGACCTTTTCAGAAAGCGTAAAGTCATTTCCTCTGGAGGCTGCATTGCTCAGATCTTCTTCATCCATGTCATTGGTGGGGTGGAGATGGTGCTGCTCATCGCCATGGCCTTTGACAGATATGTTGCCATATGTAAGCCTCTCCACTATCTGACCATCATGAGCCCGAGGATGTGCATTTTGTTTCTGGCTGCTGCAGTGGTTATTTTGTTCTTTGGTCCAACCATGTTTGTCTATACGTGGCCGCACCCCAATTCCCAAATGGACAAGTTTCTTGCTATTTTTGATGCAGTTCTCACTCCTTTCTTGAATCCAGTTATTTATACATTCAGGAATAAAGAGATGAAAGCAGCAATGAAGAGAGTATGCAAAAAGCTAGTGATTTATGGGACGATTTCATAAATGATGTGATAAAGTCTTCTCACTTACCCTAAGGTAGCTTTATGCTTCTGTCTTTGGTATTTTAGATCAGGAAATTGAAGCATCAAATTTTGCTTTTTGAGTGTTGTCAGATCTGTAACATATTTCTAAAATGATAAATATATTTATTCCTGTGAGCCATTAAACACTATACCTCTCTATCTATGTAAGTCTCATTTAATTACTTTCAGCAGTGTTTTCAGTTTTTGGCGAATAAGACTTGCATATCTTATTTTGAGATTCATCCTAAAATTTCCATATTTTTGATATGGTTATAAATTTTACTTTTGGGGTTTAATGTAGAATTATTTGCTGTTAACATATAGAAACACAGCAGACTTTTGTTCATTAACATTATGTCCTGCACATTTGCAAAACATTACTTCTATTAGTTTTTTACAGATTAAGCAGGATTTTCTTCATAGATGATCATTTCATTAGCAAATAAAGACATTTTTCATCTTTTATTCTGATGTGGATTTAATTTATTCATTTTCCTGCCTTATTACACTTAGTAAAGTCAAATGATACAGTGTTAAATAGAAGTGGTTACATTGGACATCGTTGACTTGTTCTTACTCTTTTGAAAAAAGCCTTCAGTCTTTCATTGTTAAATATGATGCCAGTTGTTAGTTTTTTAGATGTGCTGTTGATATGATTTTTTTCTTGAAAATATTTTATAGAATTTACCCAATGAAGTCATTTGGGATAGGAGTTTTCTCTGGAGGAATATTTTCAACTAGAAATTTGATTTTTGGTAGATTGTGTCTTCTTAGAAACTTTTACGTTCATCTTCTGTTTTCAGATTTTTTTTGGAATAAGTTATTTGTAATATTTTCTTACTATCTAATTAAAATATCTGTAAGATTTGCAATGTTTTTCTCTCTCACTGTGAATATTGGTAGCTTGTATTTTTATTCTTTTTTAAAAAAATGTTTTCTAAATTGTCTTTCCTCTTTTTTTATCTTATCAGCATGGCTAGAAGTTTTTCATCTTTTGTGATGTTCTCCCATTTTTATTTCATTGATTTTTCTCTATTGTTTTGTTTTCTCTTTTCTTAATTTTCATTTTTATTGTTTCTATTCTCCTTTATTTTTCTAGTTTAGGGGGAAACCATAGTCATTCATAATGAGACCTTTCTTCTTTTCTAATACGTGATTGTAGTTGTTTTAATTTCCCTCTAAGCCACTGCTTTAACTGTTTCACATAATTTTTTACATATCTTGTTTTCTGTCATTCAGTTCAAAATACTTTCTAATTTTTAACTTGAAACACATGAGTTATAATTTCCATGGAAAATTTCCAGATATCATTCCATTATTGAGTTTAATTCTTTTGCCTTTTAGTCAGTAACCTAGTTTGCATGATTTGAATATTTTTAATTTATGGAGACTTGTCTTATGGTGCATGGGACAGCAGGTTCCTATCTTTCCTCATATTGAGTGCTGAACAACCTATATAGCCTGGTCTTTTGGGACAGCTCAGAACCTAAGAAAGGGGAGGGCATTCACTTACAGCTGGTGCTGCCCTGTGAGATGGGGGATAAACACAGACTGAAATTTTTACTCCAGGAAGGAGGAAAGGAAGCAAAGGGAGCCTAATTCTTAGAAATTCAGAGTGTCTTCTGGGTGAAGCGAACAACAGGGGATGAGATGGTTGGTGGCATCACCAACTCAATGGACATTGAGTAAACTCCAGGAGTTGGTGATGGACAGGGAGGCCTGGTGTGCTGCAGTCCATGGGGTCACAAAGAGTCGGGCACAACTGAGTGACTGAAATGAACTGAATATCTATTTTGCTCATACTAAGTGCTAAGATACTGGAAGAGCTCAGTCTTCTGGACCAGCTAATAAGAAANACTCTCACAAAGAAGTATGCAGAAAACACCCTGGTTTCATGAAGGATAAGCTGATGTAATATTAAACTATCTTCCCCTTAAAAATGTACTAACTTAGAATATAAAAGCTATGGTAAAAAATAAAGATTTGCCAGACTCTGCTGCACGCCCCGTCTGCTCTCTCTCTCTCTCTCTCTCTCTCTCTCTTTCTCTTGCTGATGCCGTTCATCCTGAGGGTACCCCTGGATCCTGCCGAGGCTGGACCCCGGCAGGTCTCTATCTTCATATTGAGTGCTTCTGACTCTATGGGCTAGTTGAAACAATCCCATAAAGCCTGGGAGAGAAAGCTGTTTCTTCAAATGATTAAATAACAAAGTGAATCTACAGGGGAACATAAAGAATCATGAAACATGATACAATTCAAGGAAGAAAACAAACTTCTAGCAACTCATTTAAAAGAAATGGATATTTGTGAATTGCTGACAAATTATTCAAAATAATCATCCTAAATAAACTTAGTGAACTACAAGAGAACATGGTAGACAACCAAATGAAATTAAGAAAGCAATACATAAATAAAATATCAACAGAGATAGATGTAATAGAGAAAAGGACCAAACAGAAATACTGGTGCTAAAGAATACAGTAACTAAAAGGAAAAATTCCTAGAGAGGTTCAAACACAGATTTGATCAAGCAGAGAAAAGGATCAGTAAATTTCAAAATAGGTCATTTGAACTTATTCTGACAGAGAAACAAAAGTTAAAAGAATAAAAAGAGCGAAGAAGGCCAAATGAACTATGAGACTACATCAGAAGAAGCGGTATAACATTGTGAGATACCCAGTAGGAGTAGAAAGAAAAAGGGGAAGAAAGCATATTTAAATAAATAATGGCTGAAAACTTCCCAAATGTGTGGAAGAAAATGGACATCCAGAATCATGGGACCCAAAGGGATACAAATAGGTTAAAAGTAAAAAGATTTACACTAAGGTTTACATTAGAAGCATCTTGTTAAATGCCAAGGACAAAAAGAAAACTTTGAAAGCAGAATTAGGAACTTGGCTTATCTCAGTCAAGGAAGCCTCTGTAGGACTATTGATGGATTTTTCAGTAGAACATTTGCAGGCCAGGAGAAAATGGAATGAGTATATTCCAAGCACTAAAGATGAAAACTGCCAAATGAAAATACTACACTTGATAAAGCTGTCCTTCAAAAATGAAGAGATAGACTATCTCAGATAAAACAAAGTAGAGAGAGTTCATCACCACTAGATTTGCCTTACAAGACATGCTAAAGAGAGTTCTTTAAGGTGAAACAAAGGAATTATTTAGCAAGATGAAAAATGTGAAAGTGTAAAACTCACTGGTAAAAGTAAATATATAGTCAAGTACAGAATATGCTAATACTGTATGGTGATGCATAAATAGTTTTCAACTCTATCATGAAAATTAAAAGGTGAAAGCAATAAACATAACTAACTATAGTAACTTAATGGATACTCTTAATATAAAAAGATTTGTGAAACTGATAACATAAAGTATGTCAGCTGGAAGGTGGAAGTAAAAATGAAGAACTTTTGTATGTAATCAAAGTTGTCATCAACTTAAAATAGACTGTTACAACTGTAAGATGTGTTTTGAAAGCCTCATAGTGGTGGTTTAATTGCTCAGTCGTGTCCAACTCTTTGTGACCCCATGGACTGTAGGCTGCCAGGCTCCTCTGTCCGTGGGATTTTCCAGGCAAGAATATTGGAGTGGGTTGCCATTTCCTTCTCTAAAGCCTCATAGTAAACAGAGATTAAAAACAAACAAACAAACAAACAAACTGTAGTGGATACACAAAGTATGAAGAGAACAGAATCAAAGCACACTGCTACAAAAGAGGTCAAATCATGAAGGAACATAGTAGTAGAAGAGGAAGCAAAGGAACTACAAAACAGTCAGGAAAAATGAAAAAAAAAAGGCAATAATAAGTCCTTGTGCATGCATGCTTATTCACTTCAGTCATGTCTGACTCTGCAACCCTATGGGCCATAGCCCACCAGTCTCCTCTGTCTATGGGATTCTCCAGGCAAGAATTCTGGAGTGGGTTGCCATTTCCCCCTCCAGGAGATCTTCCCAACCCATAGATTGAACCAGAGTCTCCTGTATCTCCTGCATTGCAGACAGACTCTTTACTATTGAGCCACCAGGGAAGCCTTAATAAATCCTCATTTAGCTACAACTACTTTATATGTAATGGATTAAATTCATCAATTAAAAGATATAGAGTGACTGAATGGATATAAAAAAAGATACACCTCTGTGCTGCTATAGGTGACTCATTTGAACTTTGAGGACATGACATAGGTTGAAAGTGAGGAGTGGAAAAACATAGTCCTTAAAAGTATAACCAAAACAGCACAGGAGGGGCTAATCTTATATCAAACAAAATAGACTTAAATTAAAAAAACTGTCACAATAAAGAAGGCTATTATACTATAATTAAGGAGTCAATTCATTAAGAGGATATAACAAATATAGTTCTATATGTATCCTACATCAGAAAATTTAGAGGCACATAGCATATATACAAAGATCTGAAGGAAAATAACAATAGAATAGTAGTAGGGGTCTTCAATATCCCACTGTCAACAATGGATGGATCATTCAGATATAAATCAATAAGGAAATAAAGGAGTTGCACAATACCATGGAACAAATGGACTTAACAGACATATACAGAGAATTTCATTCAACAATAGCAGAGTATACATTCTTCTCAAGTGCAAACAGGACATTCTCCAGGACAGATCATACATTAACCTTCAAAACAATTATTAGAAAATTTAATAATATTGAATTTGTTTCAAGTATGCTTTCTGACAAAAATAGTATGAAACTTTCAATAAAAGAAGTAAAATTCCCACAAATATATGGCAATTAAACAACACATTCCTAAACAACCAATGGGTCAAAGAAATAATCAAAAGGGAAATAAAATCATAAGCTGAGACCAAAGAAAAAGGAAAAAGACATTCAACAGGACAAAACTTATAAATTGCAACATAAGCAGTTCTAAGAAGGAATTTATATGATAAATGCCTACCTTGAGAAAAGAAAGATCTCAAATCACAATTTAACTTTACACCTTGAGGAATTGTA